AAAGAAATTACCCCAAATTTTGAATGTCCTAAAAAGGATTAAAAATGTAATTTAATAACCCAGAAATGGTTTGGTCTTTCCTCCAAATAATAGCATAAAGATTCTGACAATAAAACTTTGTTTTTATTAAGTTTTAGCATTTTTCACCATGATATGCTCTTTTTCAGCGAATCTCTAGAGTTACCTATATATATATATATATATATATATATATATATATATATATATATATATATATATATATATAAAGAAATGGTAAGATATATAATCCGGTGTTATAGATATTTTTATTTTTACAAAATAGTGCTTAATGTAAATTTACAGAGCATTAATATTATAAATTCATTGATTTAAAATGTTTTTTTCGCTACACAGTTCTAACCATGTTTCAAAAATGGAAGCTAAAAGCTACGAATTTAATTTTGTAATTAAATTAAAGACATTAGTTCCATTTCATCCTCAAGCGAATTTTGGAGTAACTTTTAAAATTACTGGGTTTTAAAGACACAGCTAAAATCATAATTCATGTTTCCAAGGTTACAGGTAAATCCACTTCCACTAGACAAGGGGTGTCTGATTGTTCATTATGTCTGTATTTTGATGTATCAGTTATTAGTTACGTTTTGGTAGGAGGGTAGGGATGTATTTTTCAATGAAATCTAACATCCGTTAAATGCATGTCGTCTGGATTTTTTAAAAAAAAATTTATTTTAACGGCAAAAATTATTACGGTATTTTTTTCTATTTGTATATTTAAAGATTATGGGTGGTGTTTAGGTCAGCATACGTTTTATTTAGCTACGATTTGAAATATGTTCACGTTTAGTTTTTAATTTTTAATATACTATATTTCTTTTAAGAACAATTAAATGTAATTAGAATCCCTTACGTTATGTAGAATTATTTTCAGATCAAGTATAAGTATGTATATTATTAGGTTACAATTTTTTTTAAATTTAAATATGCGAAAAAATCGGTACTTGTACATAAAGGTGAGCAATGAATTAAGAATTCTTATGACCACTTTGACATCACAATGGGATCACTAGACTCAGCTGAGTCTTCTGATCTCATTGGTCTTTTTATATTATACAACCTTACAGCGCACTATGATATTAATATAACTGGCATTGGTTTGTACAGAGACGATGGACTTGTGGTTATTAGAAACTCAAGTAACTTCAAAATAGATAGAATTAGAAAGGTACTATATAAAGAATTTAAAAGCATGAGCTTAAAAATTACGGTTAGCACTAAATTAAAAAAGTGAACTTCCTAAATATAACATTAGATCTAAATAAAAATACATACACACCTTATAAAAAACCCAACACCAATCCTTTATATATACACCCTAAATCAAATCCCCCCCATCTATAATTAAACATATACCGTTATCTATCAGTAAACGAATTAGTACAAATTCAGCAAATGACAAGATTTTCGATGAGCATATCAATTCCTATAATAAGGCTCTAAAAGAGAGTGGCTACAAAAAACCCAAAACTAACCTATATAAAAAATGAAAATGGAAAGCATAGAAAAAACAGACGTAGAAAAATAATTTGGTATACACCCCCATATAACCAAATGGTAAAGAACAAATTAGGACAAAAATTCCTCGCATTAATAGTCAAGCATTTTCCTAGTGAAAGTAAACTAAGTACTATTTTTAATAAAAACACACTAAAATTGAGTTACAGCTGTACGGAAAACGTAGAAAAAATTAAGAACCATAATGCTAATATCTTAAATAAACACTTATACCAAAACCAGAAAAATTTAGAAAATGGAAAAATAAAAATAAAAACTGATGAAAATAAACAAAAATTATGTAACTGTAGAAACCCTCATAATTGCCCTCTACAAAATAAATGTCGCACTGAATGATTAGTATACCAATGCAATATCTCTTCGATTGAATATCCTGAAAACATAAATATATATATAGGTTACACTAGCCATGAGTTCAAAAAAAAGATTCAACCAACATCAAAGTTCATTTAGGATAAATAAATATAAAAATCAAACATCTCTATCGAAATACTTCTGGCACCTAAAAGAATCAAATAAAACACCTACAGTAAAATGGAAGTTAATAAGAAAATCTAAAAGCATTAAAGCATTAAATGACCCATATCCTTTGTGCATACATGAGAAACTATATATTACTAAGTTTATAAAAAATAAAAATTTACTGAATCAGAGAAATGAAATAACTATTTTTTGCCGTCATTGTCAAAAATTTTCCTTAAATAATATTTGAAAATAAAAATAAATTTAAAAAGTGCGATCAGGTAATATACATACTTATATTTAACATGAAAAAATAATTTTATATACTGTAATTAATTCTATTACCTTTACTTGTTTTTTCTTTAAAAAAATTTTTTTCTAATATAAAAAAAGTCTATTAAAATAACAGTGAAAATATTTTAAAGTTGTATTTAAAATTGTAGTTAAAACGAATTCTAACCTAAATATCTTTTAAAATTGTAGTTAAATAAAACGTATTCTAACCTAAACACCTCTCAAAAAGTACTACCGGCACTTAAATGAAGCCAATAAAACACCTACTGAAAAATAAAATTATGACGAAAAGCTAGAAGATGTAGGCCATGGAATGACCCATGTCCTTTGTACATGCATGTGAAACTATATATTACTAAGTTTATATATAAAAACAAATAAATAAATAAATAAAGTTTACTAAATCAGAGAAATGAATTAGCTATTTTTGTCGTAAGTGCCATAAATTTTACTTAAATAATATTTAAATATAAAATTTTAAAAATCGTAATATACATATACTTGATATGGAAAAATAATTTTACTTACTGTAAGTAATTCTAATACTTTTACTTCTATTAAAAAGAAATATAGTCTATTAAAACTAACAATGAAAATATTTTAAAGTTGTAATTAAAATTGTAGTTGAATAAAATGAATTCTAACCTAAACTTCTTTTAAATTTTAATTAAATAAAACGTTTCCTAACCTAAAGACCTCCCACTTAGTACTGCACGCAATTAAAAGAATCCAATAAAACACCTACAGTAAAATTAAATTAATATGTAATGCTAGAAGATGTAAAATTTTGAATGACCCATGTCCTTTGTACTTACATGAGAAACAATATATTACTAGGTTTATATAAAAAAATAAAAATAAAAAAATAAAAGTTTACTAAATCAGTGAAATTAGGTAGCTATTTTTGCCGTCATTGTCATAAATTTTACTTAAATAATATTTAAATTTTAAAAAAATTTGTAACCTAATAATATACATACTTATACTTGATCTGAAAATAATTCTACATAACGTAAGGGATTCTAATAAATTTAATTGTTCTTAAAAGAAATATAGTATATTAAAAATTTAAAATGAAAATATTTCAAATCATAGTTAAATAAAACGTATTCTAACCTAAACACCCCCATAATCTTTAAATATACAAATAGAAAAAAATGCCGTAACAATTGTTGCCGTTAACAATAAAAATTTTTAAAAAAAATCCAGACGACATGCATTTAACGGATGTTAGATTTCATTGAAAAATACATCCCTACCCACTACCAAAACGTAACTAATAACGGATACATCAAAATGCAGACATAATGAACACGCAGAAACCCCTTGTCTAGTGGAAGTGGATTTATCTGTAACATTGTAAACGTGAATTATGATTTTAGCTGTGTCTTTAAAACCCAGTAATTTTAAAAGTTACTCCAAAATTCGCTTGAGGATGAAATGGAACTAATGTCTTTAATTTAATTACAAAATTAAATTCGTAGCTTTTAGCTTCCATTTTTGAAACATGGTTACAACTGTGTAGCGAAAACAACCATATTTTAAATCAATTAATTTATAATATATATATATACATACCTTTAATCTTTAGAGGTACCTATATATATATATATATATATATATATATATATATATATATATATATACCTCTAATATATATAAATTTCTAAAATTCCAGGTACAAATTATATCATTTTCAATAGGTTATTATATTCGATTAATGCGTTTTCAATTAGTGCGTATCTTTTAATGTACACATGATCCGCACTAATCGTGGGTTTACTATCTATCTATCTATCTATCTATATATATATATATATATATATATATATATATATATATATATATATATTAATCGGTATTACCTACACCTAGGGCAAGTTCGAAAAGCTAATAAGACACATGGGGTATGGAATGTGGAAGAATAAGGAATATAAATATTAATAATGAGCGGGATGGGCCAGAGTAATCAGGAGGACAGTAGATAGCAACTGACATTGGATTGAAATTTTTGGCGGGAAAGCATGGAGTGGCAAGAGAGTTCCACAAGCGAGAAGTGTGAAAAATTCACTTTTAGAATTATATATATATATATATATATATATATATATATATATATATAGGTACCTCTAAATTTGTACCTCTAATTTTAATGTGAGTAAACTTTTGTCACTTAGCTGATTGATGTTACCCGACTCCAGAGTTTCGTGAACGGACCTGTCCGTCCACTTTCAGAGGGTATCAGCAATTTATGCACAGTGTGGGTAATCAGAGAAGGAAACTGAATTAGACCAATTAGCCAATTTTCTATTGGTGTTCATGCCACCTTTTTATATCTGGATTTAAAACTTTGATGGATACAGGGTTTTAGCAAAAGTCGAAAATGTGTTCTCACCCTAATTTAATTTAGCTTAGTATCTCACAAATCCAACATACTGGAGCGCCTAATGAGGATCGAACTCAGTACATTAGCGAATAATCGACAAGACGTATTTGATGACCACCGAACTACGGTATACATATTTTTTTTTTCAATGGCTATTTCTTTAACACCTAACATCTATCCGACCATCATACCAAAATTAAAGTAACTTTTTCTCTCAGCTTTTTCTTGACCGTCCTTACTTACTTGCTCTGTCCCTTCCCAGACACCTGAGCTGGACAAAGGTACTGAGTAGTAAGACCTGAAAATGTCTTTTTTTTCCCCCCTGCTTCCCCGCCGTACAGAAGATCTCTGCGGTCATTTCACACGCATACTTTTTGTTTCTTGTTTTCTTATACTATGTTACTTTGTTTTAACACTGACATCATTTCGACAAAGGGGGTGGATGGCTGCTTCGATAGTTGGACACGGTGGGGGAAGGGAGAACACTAATTGTTTTTGCACTATTTTGTTATTTTTTCATATTGTCTTTTCCTCCTCTTTACCGGTTTTTCTTAGAAGTCTTTTTCTTGTCTTTTCGCCCGACCAATCTCTTTGAAGATTACAAACTGCACTCGTTGGCTTTCTTACTAACAAAAATTCACATTTGTCGCCCAATTTGTTGTTATTGTCATTCCTTTAGTCTTTCTTTTAATTCAATTTTTCTTCTCTTTTTTTTTTTCGATTATTTTTTCTTTCTTTTTCTTTTTCGTTTGATCCAAGTTTATTTCACTTCGTACTTTTTCTTTCGCTGTTCCTCTCATATTTTTCTTCTTTTATATTTGTCTGCGTTTTCTTTCCTACTTTTTTTTATTTGTATCTTCCTTTCTTTTTACTTTCTATCTTTCTTTCTTCTATATTTTACTGATTTTTCTTTCTTTCTTTCTATCTTTCTTTTTTTTCCTGTTTTCTTTCTTTCTTTATATTTTTCTGACTTTTCTTCCTTTTTTACCTTATATTTTCTTACTTTTTTCTGTATATTTTTCTTATTTTTCTTTTTATTTCTTTCTTTTCTGTTTTTTTTTTCTGATATTCCTTTCCTCTTTTCTTTCTTTCTAGTTGCTGACCTTTCTTTCGTTATTTGTATTTTATTTGTAATTTATATTTTTCTGACTTTTCTTTTGCCTTTTCTTTTGTCTTCGTTTTATCTTTCTTTTTCATACTTTTTTTGTTTTGAACTTCGAATTTTTATATTATTATTTATTTATTTATTTATTTATTATATATTCACCGTTCTTTATTTTTTCTTCTTCAATTTTTTATCCTTCATTTTTCTATTTGTTACTTTCTTTTTTTCTCGCTTGTTTCTCTCTTTCGCTTTCTCTCTCTCTCTCTCTTTCTTTCTCTCTCTCTCTTTCTTTTTCGTAATTCTTTAGTCTTTGCTAAAGTTGTATTCTTTCGTTTGTTCAGTTTTTACTATTTTCTTTCTAGAAGCCTTTTTGTTAGTTGTTTCATTCTTTCTTACAATTTTTCTTTCTTTCTTTTCAGTTTCTTGTATTCTTTACAAAGTTTTATCTTTTTTTAACTTTCTTCAGGTTTCTTTTAATTATTTTATTTCCAGAAATTTTCTATTCCTTATTCATTTTCAATCTTTCTTTGATTCCTTTTCCATCTCTTTCTATTTTTCCTTTTTCTTTCCTTCTTTTTTCCCGCCTCTTTTTTCTTTTTCTTCCCCTTTTTTAATTTACTCCATTTCATCGCGCTTTTCTTTCGCCGTTAGTCTTTTGCTTTCATTCTTCATTTATTTTCTTTCATCTTCCTTTATTTCCTTCCTTAAATCATTTCTTCTCCTCTCCTCTTTCTATTCTTTGTTTTCTTCCTTAATTCCTCCCTCCCTCTTTAAATACTTTCTTTCTTTCCTTCCTTCTTTCTCATTGATCAAATTTCCTACCTTTTTGGTTTTCTTTCCTTACTTTGCTTTTTTATTTTCTCTTTATTTTATTTTCTTTTTCTTTCTATTTCTCTTTCTTTTCTCCATTTATTGTTTCTATTTCTCCTCTTCACATTCTTTGTTATTGGGTTGGCGCATAATTATTACGTGTTTTTAAACAATATTTATTATCAAAAAAGAAATATAACAATTCAACAATAACATTTTTAAATGAGTATGATTATCGACACGCATTTTTATAACCTGGAAATAAAATAATATTTTTATTAAAAAGTAAACAAAATAACAATTATTATTAACAAGTATCTCGCCTACAAAAAAAAAAAAAAACGCCTGATAATTATGCACCAACCCAATATTTTTCTTCCACTTACATTTATTTCTTCTTTCCATTTTTTTTTCATTATTCTTTCTTTTTCGGTTTCAAACTTCTTTCTCATTTGCTTTCTTTCTTTCTTTTTTAACCCCTTTCTTCCATTTTTTTTTTTACAGTAAATTCCGCTCTGTACAAGGCCCGGGTTCTACTCTGGGTTGAGGGTTATGTTTAAGGGGTAGTTTATATGTACGGGAGTGGAAGATAACGGTTGTGTCTAGACTTGAATAGTTTAAGATTGCAATGATCGTGGAAATATCCTCTTAGGAGTCTGCTCCACAGGACAGCGATTCGCGGGAAAAAAACTGTTTGATTAGAACGAAGAATATGGAGGGAATAACGATGGTTTGTTACTATGTAAGTGTCATGGCGGGTCCTAGCCGTAAAGGTCAGACCTGGCGGAACTAGGAGATACAATTTATCCGAACATTTTCCATGGTAGTAGCGAAAGAGCAGTGAGAGAGAGAGAGAGAGGCTAGAAAATAATTCTTCCCCAACAAGGACTCAGAGACGTTTTTGAACTCTATCAAGACTGGAAAGTGAGGTCTGGGCAGTTGCAGCCCAAATATGACAACATTACTCCATTTTCGGACTGATCTGGCTATTATAAAGGTAGATGATAGCATGATTAGTCAGATACTTACTGGAGCGGTACAAGGAGACAATTATATTACCTGCATGTATCGTATATAGGAATTCCGCTTGCGGTCGGGTGTGAGTTTGAGGCCCATTCTCCTCTCAAGGTACAATGCTTCCTCGTGAGGACATCCGTTCATCGTGACTGGTGGTAGTTCGGGGTCTGGCCGGCGGTGATGGAATGTAACCATTTTGTTTTTAGAGACATTGAATGCAACCAGCCATTTTTTTCTTCACTGGGAAGTTAGTGATAGATCGGAAGAGAGGTCAGCAGCCAATCTCTGATCGGATTTTTATAAGTGCGCCTGTATATTGTCGTACTATCAGCATAGACGTTTACAAATGAGCGGTGTATTTTCTTAGGTAGATCACTTATGTAAATCAGAAAGAGGGTTGTCCGAGAAAGTGGCCCCTGTGGAACGCCAGCGTTGACCACCAGTGCCCCTAAGGATTGGCCGTTAATAAATACCTTCAGGGATCTACCTTTTAGGAAGAATTTTATAATAGAGAAAACACTTCCATAGCTGAAGAGCATTTGTGCCACACCTTGACGAAGGCCTTCGAGATAGCTAATGCTATGGTCCTTCCGGAATGTGTGCTGTCAAGGGTATCACTGTGTGCAATGGTAGTTAGGACATCAGCGGTGGATCGGGCTGATCGAAACCCATACTGCTCGACGCACAAAAGGTTATTCCTATCCAGGTGCTCAACGAACTTCTTGTTGATTAAGGCTTCAAAAAGCTTACTGATGATACTGAAGAGACTAATGGTTCTATACAGGGGAGGGGATAGACCGGTTGCCCGCATTCTTGAAGACCCGACATACACTTGCCGCCTTCCACATGCTTTAGAATTAACTTTGCTAGAATCGGGGATAATTCTGGGATGATATTCTCAGAGACTACCACTGGAATTTTCTCTGGGCCAGTGGCTTTTTTTTATGGTCAAGACTTCCCTTGATGAAATGAGTATATTACCGAGATTGTGCTCAGTGAGACGTGGAAAATTGGGGATAACCTTGTCATCTAACGTTAGGTTTGAACCAAAGATCGAAGCAAACAGCTTCACCTGGTCTGTCAAGGAGGATATGACCTCGGGTCTATTTATAATAGTGAGCACAGCCTCTTTCATAATTTGGTTGGTGATCTTCCAGAATTCGCGAATTCCAATTTGTTCATTTTCAACCTTGACCTGGACAGACCGCGCGTAGCTGCAGTTTGCGTTTTCCAGAACTCTCTTACAACGAATGTGGGCGGTTCTTAAAGAAGTAAAGGCCAGACTACACCGCTTCTTGCGATAGATTTTGAAGTAGTGGTTCCGGTAAGCTATGCCTGCAGCGCATTCAGGAGTAAATCAGGTCTGGCTGTTTGTTTTTTGGTGGATTTTTTTGTGGCGGGGGGGGGGGGTTAAAAAACACTCCATTCTAGAAAGAATCCATTTGGAGATTAGGGTAGCAGTTTTGGGGGCATAATGTTGGAACAAGGTTGGGAGAGGAGCTTCTGTCATATAGGACAAAAAGATGTCACAGTCTGTCCCCACATAGCGAAAAACCGTTCTATGGAACGGTAAATCATGTGATGTCATAGGTTTAGAGTCAATCTGGACACTGACTAGGGAATGATCTGATGTGCCAATGGGGGCTTAAATTTCTGCTAAGCATTTGTCAGAGAAGGATGTCGGAAAAAGGGCAAGAAGGATCGCCTGCTATCCCATCGCATCCTGGATTTGGGTGGGTTCTTCAATAATCTGGGTTAGTTCATATACGATGGAGAATCTCTGCAATATCTACCTTCCTCATCGGTTTTGTTAGAGGGGACTAGCCATTCTTTGTAGTGAACATTGAAGTCACCGCATACGTGAAAGTCGGCCGAGGGATATTCGGCGAGAATATTGTCAATCCTTTCTGATATTCAATCGAAGATTACTAATTCTTCATCCTTAGGACAATAGTGGGTAAAGACAAATGTGGTACTATGGATAAGTGTCACGCGGAAACACATATACGGGATATCAGCCTTCTAGTTTTTTGTATCCCTGTCACAGAGTAACCCGCCCGTGGTGTAGGTACCGATTCCTTCTTTCTTTCTTACATCCTATCTTCCATTCTTTCTTACATGCTTTCTTTTTTCCTTCTCCTATACAGGAAAAGAAAACAATATTTTGCTTTGTTGATATTTATTAAGCTAAGCCTAATGGTAATGTAAGTCTGAATTAGAAAGGGTGTACTGTGCTAAGCTATCTGACTGAGTATACCTACCTGGCTGGACAGACTATTATTCAAATTACTGACTTTAACGTGGGTTGAAAAATCGGTGAAAAATGTGGAAAGTACAGCTGACCAAACCTGTACGTTGATATACTTACGTACATATACACGCACGCACGCACACAGGTATATGTATATATATATTTTTTTTCTGTGTGCGTGTGTCATCAGGCTCCTCTGTGCACAAAGATATATACACTTGCATATGAAGGTTTCTATGCACTCTTGATTTTAGATAGATAGATAGATAGATAGATAGATAGATAGATAGATAGATAGATAGATAGATAGATAGATATGAACATGTTGAGATAGAAAAAAATTCGGGAGAGAAAAAGAGGAGAAAGCTACAAGAAATATGAATATAATTTGATAGATAGATAGATAGATAGATAGATAGATAGATAGATAGATAGATATACATACATACAGGTACATGTTTGTGTATTTGAATTGAAGGAAGTGATGAAAAGATATTTCGAATATCGGAAATCTCTCCTTTTGTCTATTTCTTCATATTTCCTTGAAAGTAGATTAATTTCTCTCTCAATCATCCCTCCCCCCTCTCTCTCTCTCTCTCTCTCTCTCTCTCTCTCTCTCTCTCTTGCTTTATCTTCATTTTTTCAAGTTATGCTTACACCTGAACTTGGTAAGTAATTTTAATTAATCCTGCGATGGTTGCTCCGAATATAATGCCTCCTCCATGGCCCACTTTATTTCCAAGAAGCGCGAATTTCCAGTTGCAAAACAATGTTTGCCTTTTGTTTTATTGCAATATTCCACTTGGTAATTTGCTTTTTTTCTTTACCTCAGACTTTTCTCTTTTCTTCTTTTGCAATCCGCTTTCTTCTTCTTCAGCTTGTTTTCTTTTTCTTCTTCTTCTTCTTCTTCTTCTTCTTCTTCTTCTTCTTCTTTATGACTATTTACTCTTTCATTTTTCACATCATTTGAGTTAGTTTCTCCTCCTCTTCTACATTTCTTCCTCCTCCTCTTCTACTTTTCTTCCTCCTCCTCTTCTACATTTCTTCCTCCTCCTCTTCTTCTTTTCCTCCTCCGCTTCTTCTTTTTCTCCTGTCTGAACATTTTTCTTCGTTTTCTTTCTTCTGATTGGTGTAAATAAAAATCCTTTAGTGCGACTACTTCTTCTTCTTGCCTACCTCTTCTTCTTCTTCCCCTCCTCTACCACTACCTTTTCTTTTTCTTTTTCTTCGTTTCTTCTTCTTCTTCTTCTTCTTCTTCTTCTTCCCCACCTCTTCTTCTTCTTCTTCCCCTCCTCTACCACTACCTTTTCTTCTTCTTTTTCTTCGTTTCTTCTTCTTCTTCTTCTTCTTCTTCTTCTTCTTCTTCTTCTTCTTCTTCCCCACCTCTTCTTCTTCTTCTTCCCCTCCTCTACCACTACCTTTTCTTCTTCTTTCTCTTCGTTTCTTCTTCTTCTTCTTCTTCTTCTTCTTCTTATTCTTCTTCTTCTTCTTCTTCTCCTTCCCCTCCTCTACCACTACCTCTTCTTCTTCTTCTTCTTCTTCTTCTTCTTCTTCTTCTTCTTTGCGTCTAATCCTTTGAGGACGTGGGACAATCATGGCTCACCTAACTTTTATTGCTTTAAGTCATTTTTACCGTTTACAATTCATTTTTGTCTCCGTTCTGCTATGCTGGTTAGGGAGGCTTATCAGTTATGGATGAGTTGTTTATTTTATAACAACGTCCTTTCCCACCATAAGTCGGTATAATTGATTTGAGTGTATATTTGCCTTATTTAATGATTAAAAGATAATGCACAAATGTTGAAAAATACAAATTGAATCTTTATAAAACACGATACAATAATAATGTATGAGAAGGTGAGAGTTGATTTTTCAAGAGTGCAAGTGTAAAAGTCCTAGCG